GAATGCTGAAATGAAGCGGCTGTGTATAAAATAAACTGTTTGAGAAATAACAGGGCCATGCATGGAAAAACAGTATTTGAATATTTACATGTATATTTGAATCACTGTGCACAAACACTTCTGTCCTACAAAATTTGTAAATTAAGGACAAAATCTGTAAAGTGAAATGAAATAAACAGTTAAATCCTAAATTAAGGAACAGATTATTGCATATCTAGTCAGTAATTAAAAAAAAAAGCTAATCAGCAAATTAAAGAGACCAGGGACCAATTTCATAAAGCTGCTTAAGCACCAAATTTGCTTAAGCACACAAAAAAATAAAAGTTACCAGCTCAAACTTAGTGTGATTGCCATTCTAACCAAAAGACAGCTAAACACCATTTTAAAACAATGTACATCACGTGGAGTTTTGGCCGGTAACCTGATTTATCAAGCAAGGTTTTTTCACACTTAAACGGAGCTTGTGCTTAAACAGCTCTAGATGGGCAGCATGAAGAAAAGCTTGGCTATTGATTGGCAGCGTTCACATTCTGCATATGCGGGACTGATTGTTAAAAAGACTGGCAGCTTGTGTTGCTGATGATATAAACTGACGACCGCAAAACCAAGTTTAAATTTCCCCCCTTCCCATATACCAGGTATCTCTCCAATTTAATTTTTAGACAAACTGCCATTTGCAGCCAGAGACACTGTTACATACACATTGCAAAACCAAACAAGGATTTTGTAAGACTCAACTCTAGTTTTTGCATCCACAATAAGTGTTGATACAGAGATTCAATCTCGAATCTTAATAAATTACATCTTGGTTCCTGGAACAGTGGCGCATTTGTTGGTTGCATTGATGAAAAAATATGCATGATATTATTCCAAATGTTCCAAGAAAAAAGGGACAGCCTAGTATCACTTTTGCCGGGTGTATATCTGATTACTGAGCCCCTGGGCTTTTCCCAGGAATGGGTTTACAAATTTGAATCCTTTTAGAGAAGTGTTTGTCATGTATATTATCACATCTGCTCCCCTCTGGTTACCATGACAGCATCAGTGAATGATCAACTGCTGATGTTACCCTTGTCCTCAGAGGCCGGCCTACTTAACTCTCGGCCTAACTCCCCCCCCCCACTCACACACACTCACTCCCTCACATATGTATACTTGTTGGGTATTTCCTTTGTTCTCGTGTACAAAACTCCCACACAACACAGAAAAAATTTCAAATCACTGCCATTTCAACCAAATTCAGTTTCCTGGGTTGAAATTTCGTCCGTATGTCCCTTATATAAAACACTTCAATTTGCAACAGATGAATGGTACTTGAAAATTCTTCCTTTCTGAGTAAATTTGAAATATCTGTTTCATGAAATTCTTGTGGGGTACAACTTTAGTACCCCACAAGGATCAAAACTGGCCTTGTGGGTACCTTCCATTGTTCCAGTATCCCACATGCACAAGGCACCATGTAGAAGCGGACAAATGGTGTGTATTCACGCCCTGATTCGGAAAATTTTAATATGAGCAGCCCAGGTCCATATCACCAAAGCAGTTTCAGCTTGGATGTCTGAGCCAATTTCGCTGAGTGCCAAACAAGATGGATTCTTGTTCATCTCAATCTCTTCTTCTCATCCTCTCCCATGTGTTGCCCCTCGTGTCTTTTGGGGCGCTCAGCTGCCACATCCATTTGATTGAGAAGGGGACGGGAGATCACCGTCTCAGCTAAAGAAATTTTTAAAAAGGAAAGAAAACCCCACCCTGATCATAATTTTACTATAAATCCCACACAGCGACAGGCACTCCCGGGCTGTCCGGCCGGCCGGTTGTCAGATTTCATCTCAACCAAAGTGCAGAATGTCTCTTTCATCCAACCTGCCTCTGGGCGAGAATAACACACTGTCTTCCTCATGTGGATAACAAACCCCGTTATTTTATGTTTTATTGAGCACTCCATTCCCCTGTTGCCTTGTTTGATTTTCACAAATTGTTTTTGTCCCTCTGCCTTGAATCTGCACTGAGCATTTGCTCTCATGTGAACATTATACGTAGGCGTTAGATGCAGTCAGTGAAAGCGTGCTTGTCTCCCAAGATAGCCCAGGTGTGCAAAGATTCGCCTTGTTCCCTTTTGAAACAAAGATTGTCCAGGTTTGGTAAGATGCTGTTGATTTGAGTAACTTCTGTAAGCCTGGCTCCTCTGCGGACTCATAGAGCAGCCAGAATTAGAAGCCATTACTCCGGTGGCACCACACACTGGCATTTTGGAAGCACGCGTGCATTACATGCCTCGTTGGCCAGTGGGGTGCACGCGCACTCACATTCGCAAGAATTCGCGCTCGTGTGGTGCCGCTGCAGTGAATGCATCCCCCCATCATTATTTTATCCTCAATTGCATGTCCAAACCATAAACAACTGCGTTCCTACCCCGTATTTATGGTATTGATTTCTATTAGGTTTGATGGAACAAGGAAAAACGACTCGTGTTTGTTGATACTTAAGCTGTCTAGTGTGCTACTTAAGTTTATCATAGTATCGGGCTAACTTTTGATTGGTTGAAATGGGTGTGATCATGTGATGTACATGTACAAAGTTCAGTCATTATTCAATTATTTGTAACCTTCAAAGAGTACAGAAATTCTTCATGAAGAATGAACGATTTTTCCAGAATGAATTTTTGCCAGAAAAGATGTCATTAAATTACTACAGTGCAATCACAAAGCAGTTTATTGAGGTAAAGATTAAACACGTATTAAAATCCTGTACTGCTGTTTATTGGAGAGCATGCTGAAGAAAGTAAATAATCCTTTCTCCTTCACTCACTGGCTATCTGTGTATCTAACAACCCCCCTAAAAACTACAAGCAAAAACAACATTTTAAAAACAAAAACCAAAGAGATAAAATTGTAACTTTCATTTATCCATTCTAAAGTTCAGATGCTAAAAACCACAAGAAAATGTGTGAACCTGTGTATTAGCAGCTTTTAAAAGTGCTCTAGCAGAAAATGGATCACCTGTTCCAGGGTGAATGCATTTTTCTCCCAAGCCCTTCCTTAAACCCTCTTCAGGTGTGTGCTCATCTCCTGTGTTAGATAAAAATTCTGAACATTAAATAAGCGAGCAGGAGAGCCAGGGGCAATTCTGGTCGTCAGACCTATGATATTGGAAAGCCCTCCAGTTTGCTTCTGCGCCCCCCCATCATGCAGATGATCGGGGAGGATACTAAGCAGAGATCACATGATTTGAAGCCTCATGTGGAATGGCAAAGAGTCCCATAAGATGCCTTGTGTTTTGCCCCAGGTTTGCTGCTGATGACGTTTTTTGCAATACCGTCATACTGTAATCCACATTTGGGCAAGGGCCAGGACTCAAAAAGATTCTGCATTCCATTCAGAATTACTGCTCATCAACCTGGTCAAAGGACCGAAGGAAGAGTTCTTGATTAGGAGAGTTTCTAACTTTGGTCTGTTGGATGACAACAGCCTTGGCTGTTCAAAGGGGAAGGTTTAATTAATGCATACCCACTTGGTGTTTTTCTAGTTCTGTGAGAAAGATGAAGAAGATGACCATGGTGACTAGTTTTTCTAATGTCAGTTTTCACGGAATAACGATTTTGACATCCACCCAGTCAATGCTTTGGACTTGCAATGCTTCATATATTTTCTGTTTGTAGTCATGCATGTACTTGTATGTACATGCATACCATGTGATAAGTTTCAAGCGTGGGTGTCGTAAAGGGGGAGGTCCTGGGGGGGCACTTGTCCCTTTGGAAAAAATTGGGAAAAGGAGGAAGGGAAAGAAAAAAGGAAATAATGAGAGGACATGAAAATAACCAATTTCCATGGAAATGCCTCAAAATTGACACCCTGCTGTTGTTCATAAAGTGTACATTGTAAGTCTGCTGCTGTTGAGTGCTTTCCCTTACCCCATTTGAAATTACGCCCCGTTCCTGGTACAGTAATGCTGTTCATATTCAAAAGCATTCATTATTCAATTAAACACCATTGTACTGAACCAATTGTGAATTATGTGCATTGCTTTCCTTGCAAGTTGTACAGTTGGCCACTTACTACACAGGTACACTAGTGTAAAACACGTACATGTAGATGTGTGATAGCTACCCGGAAGACCAGAAACGTTGTTCAACTTACCTGTAATGAAAGCCCACGCAGCTGACGACAAATTTTCCCACAGTTCAAACATGTCGTTGCAGCTCAGTCTGATTTATTTAGGGATTCTTCATCCAAATGAGAAATGTTGACAGGACATGGCCTGAGTAGTTTTTGTCTCTGGAGTTAATGGGATGACATATTGAAATACAGGGAACCTTACTCAGCCTGCAATCTCTGTGCAGATGGAATTTCAACTCTGGATAATGTTTCCAGTACTTTTATTTCATTCATGTTGTAGAGCTTGAAGTAAAAACGGAAGAATGAGCCTAATCAAGGCCAGTTAATTTAAGTCACGAAAGAGAAACTTATCGATACTTTTTTCTTGTAGAAAGATTTTGCCAGGATGACCAAAAAGAAATAGAAAATTGGAAACCAGAGCAGTCCCAATTACAAATGTGAATGGACCTTGCCCGAACCCGTTTAATCCAACTCAGGTCTGCATGCGATAAAACAATGTTGATATCAACACAGTGGGACAGTAGTGTGAAAAGGCCTACGTTGTTTTAAAACTGGAGTGTGTCTTCACACATGGTCAAATCCAGTGACCAGGCTGTACCCATGTACATGTAGAAGCCAATATTAAATTAGCAACAAGCTTGAGGGCAGCTGGTACACAGGCATTGAACACCTCTGTGGCCTGCCAAAATGAAGGCGCAGTGCGGTGTCAAAACAATAATGATGTCCCCTCACATTAGTTGGTACATTTGGGTCATCCAAAAATATGTTTACCTCATTTATCTCTCTTTTACGCGCACGTCTCTCTTGATTTTGGTGAGAAGACATTGACATCTTTGTCACAACAGTTTATGTGAAGATATTGCTTGTTATTTGTCTTCTTTACAGGAGTGGGCAGATATGATTCTGAAGATAAGTTACCATCGTTCAGCCCAGTATCCGTCTCCATATAAGCTTCTAGAAAAAATGTGAGCGTCATGAACATCATGAGATTTTTTTTTCTACTCTGCTGTTTCTTAATGTGGAAGAATGTCTTTCCTTCGTCAAGCACACATTTTCAAGGAAGGGAAAAATGCTTTGTCATTTTTTGAAACTGTGTTTATGACATTAGACAGCAACCGTTGAGTGTGAAGGTTGTCAAAACGTGTCCCTGAGTATGACAGGACAGCAATGTATATTGATACACCGAGCACACTGTAAATTCCCTCGCAAAGCTCATGTAAATGTACGTTTTTACTTCAGTGACATTTGTTGATTTACTTATTCAGTTGAGGTACAAGCAGTGTGCCTTCAGAATGTGCTTGCGTATCGAAGCAGTGGGAGAAAGGAAAGTACTCGGTTTGCATGTCATAGTCTTCTGCTTTTATTATCCACAGTTACACAAAATTGACCATAATGTTGAACAAGGAAGGAAAAATAACACTAAAAAGGTAAGTTTGGTTCACACCAGGGACTGGTGCGGACCCACCGGTGTTGAAGTTGAGTCCATCAAATATCTGTGACAGTCCACCACATTCAGTCCTCTGTTAGCCAACTCACAAGGAAGTGTGGCAAAAGCATTCTTTTGTCATTGTTCACACCTTTGCTCATGTGGGGGTCTCCTGAAAGGACTCGTTTAATACCAGACTTGTATAAAGGGACTTAATTGCGTTGGACTCAACATCAAGACTCGCCAGTCACCCCTGGCACATTTCCTCATCTTGTGTAGTGGGGGAAGAAAGACTGAGATGCACTCTGTCAATAATTTGAGTTCCTCTTTGCTATTCAGACAAGCCAAGGTTCTGAGACCGGGAGCGCCCTATCTGCACAGAAAAACTAGGACAATTTCATGTGTCCAAGGACACAAAGAGCACTCTGTTTAACTGAGGTTATTAAGGTCACAACGATTAGGGTATAATTCATTCAATCAAATTGATGGGGCTTCCACTTGGGGGATTTCATCTTTAGAATCTCCCTGCTCACTTTCACTTCAAAATTACCCGATATTTTGCTCATTGGCAATATATGTAAATACTGGTGAAGCACCTCCTATGCTTGCATTATAATATGAAAGACCTGCATTTCAGAAATATAAGGCTGTAATACTTCTTTTGCTAGCCAACCACACAGTCCCAGAATTCCTTTTTTTTTCTGTATCCCGATAGTTCCATTTATGATAATTCAAGGCATCTGTGTACATTTCAGCGAAATCTAGTACGTACTCTGTATGTTGCGTGGAATGTACATGTACATGTCTTTTCCCCCGTCCAATCCAATCCCCACAAGCAGAGCACTTTACACATGATACTGCCTGGCTGGAATCTTTCCCGGGCCTTCTTGCATGGAAACCGGAGTTTGACACCCGATCCTAATCTCCTCTGGAAACACACATTAAGAGGTGTAACATGTCCCGTTGGCGGCCTCCATTGTCCCGCACAATGGTGGGGGGGGGAGAAGATCTGATTAGGGCACAGGCCGGGGAGGTTAGCTCGAGCTCCGATGATAATCATCCCATTCGGAACCTTATCCTTTCCCTTTATAATGCCAACAACTCAACTCCCCTCTGTCATCTATTTAGTGGTGACGGTGGATGGTCTTTTTTCTCATTGTTGTAAACCTTGCGCATAATTTTCATACATTGTTCACATATTATACATGTCCTTAAAACCATGACAACTATTCCAACCTGTAATAGCATCTTGACTTGCATGCATCAGAGCAGACTACATTGGTCTAATTAATTTTTTTAACACACCTTGTTTAAGAATACTGTGCCTATTTTGGCAAAATTAGATCCATTGTCCAAATCAGAAAAATTCAGCGACTTCACAGTTGGTTGGTAAATATGAACATGTATGTAACTATGCAGGAGCATAGGAAGATATATAATTCTCAAGATCATTTGTTCATCAATACCACTTACAATACTTTGATCTTGATTTATACTTGACCTCAGTAATTATTTTCTTCAAATATTTTCTTTGGGCTCTTGCCAACATTTGCTCTTTTCATTCATTATGAATGAAAGAAAAACTTTGACTTGTGACTTTCAACACCGTCCCAATCCTTTGACGTTTATTCTTGTGATTGCTGTCAGCATCAAGAAGATGTTTGCATCATCGCGGGAAGACAAAAAAAAGGTGGAGAATGCCCTCCAGGCTGCCGGGGTCCACCTTGATAAGAAGGTACGAATGAGTTGTGAAAGACATTGACCTGGCCTGCAGTAAAACATGTCTCATTTCTAGTTGATAAGCCCATGCCATACCCAGTTGTGATGTATTCATCATTTCAAGATAAAGCCACCTCTGATCAAGTCTCCAAAAGATGCAGAAACATCAAGAAGGTGATTTTGGAGTCCTTTTTCTAAAAATAAATTCCCGAAATTGTCATTCAAAAGATATTTTTGAGACTTGATGGACCCTGACAATTGGATGCGTGATGAAGCCGTGGCCAGTATGGGCATCCAGCTATGGCTCAATCTGTTTTCAGCATGAGCCAATGTGTTGGCAATTGGCAAAGGCCCAAACCTAGACCCAGACTCAAGATTTGATCAAGAGATGGAGCGCCAAACTGACAATCCAGAGGTCAGGGGTTCAAAGCTGGCGCTGGACATTTGTTCACACCAGAAATGTAAATATCGCTGTGTTTAACGCGCCCTTGTCAATGAAATCTTTGTTTGTTCTCTTGCCCGGCGGACCACAGGATGACACCATCGCTCCCGACTATTTCCGTATTGAAGATTTTTTCACGTTCTACATGAGACTCATCAGCCAGAAGGAGCTGGACAAAGTCTTTCAAGGACTGTAAGTTGACTTGATTGCAATCTGCCTCCCCTCCCCCACAGCTGAAGGGCATTTTATATGAAATTTTATTTTATGAAAAGAGTTTATTCCGTGGACTATTGAACAAATTGTTTTCCATCTATTGCCCTGTTTGCTCAGCCATGTTGTGTCGTGAGCAGTGCCAGCACAGGGCAGGTTCGAGTTCTTTCCTCAAATGTTTGAAGTTGTCACTTTCCTCCCCAAGAGGTGGAACTAGGTAATCAGTGTCAGTCATTTGATAAACATGTCTGTCAGCGACCCCACAGCCTTTCCGTCACAAAAGTCCCCCCCCCTCCATTTATCACTCTCCCTGAGCCATATGGTCTTCCGTCCTTTTCAATACCACCTTATGCTCCGATGAAAGGGAATGAACTTCCTCAGACAGCCATCTCCGCGTTGACAGCAATGGATGCATTCAAGCCTTGAGGCACTGTGCTACAAGGCGCGCACACGCACACTGAGCCGCACAGATGTTTGCATTGTGTCTGCTGTCGCGTGCATTTAGAAATTCCATCCGCCTTCATCCATTGTCAGTTAATTTTGCGCTTTTTTGTCTGCCAAGTCACAGTGCACATTTCCAGCCATTCTTGCCTTCCTGAACCATTATAATTTCAACCCAGTCTCGGATAAAGCATAAATTGATTTTTTTTCCTTCCAAAGGCTTGTACAATCAATTCATTTCTGTTGGACAATTGTAAGCAATAATTGGAAATTTGTATGTGCCCCGTTGCCTCAAGCACAGGCTGTGTTTACTGAGCTGAACATTTCAATAAAAGTCAATGAACCATGCACTTTCCCTCATCAGACCACCCTGGATTGAAGTTGATGTTTTCCAGGTTGTGTCCTATTCTACGTGCATGTTATGGCTGAATTCCTAGTTGTAGTGCATCAGACTTGTGACTGAAAAGAAAAGATGGATATTGGATTTGTGTATCCATCAGCTCAAGTGGTGTATTTCAGTGACACTACGACAGTGTTTGCCATTGATTTGAATTCATTTTTATGCTGGTGTCAATGATGACAAAAATGACTGTAGCATTGATAACTCTCATTTCTGTAAATTCTTCAATATTTGGGCTTCTTTTGTCTTTCTTCCTCCGTGCGTAGCCTTCAGTCTGGAAGGACCACTTGAGAGGCCTTGTGCTGAATGACTTTCTTTACTAAAAGAGTTGAAATTTGTCTTCATTAGTCATTCTGAGCTGGCTAAGATTTCCAGCAAAGTGAAAGCAAATGAACCGTGGTTTGTACAAAAGCGGGGGAGGGGGGATTCTGGGGCATCCGGTGGGGGACTCTTAGTGGAAAGCATGCCCCTCAAATACTGAATGTTTGACTTGTTTAAAACAATGAAAATCGAATGATGGTGCATTTTGAGCCTGTCAGTTGAAAGCGCAAAGATTTCACCCATGGTCCCGGGCAGGGTGTACATGTGCAAGTACATGTAGTTCACCCATATACATGTAACACAGGTTCACTTCACCAATCCTTCGAGAGTGGAGCGGCAGATAACAGGGGTTACATCACACCCACCGGACTGGCAGTTGAATAAAACTTCTTGCCACATAGCCAACCTAGCATGCATTGTTATAGTCTCCTCTGTGTCTGGCTTTCCCAAATTTGACCATAACAGTTGACAAAAATGCGATAGCTGACATCTGGCCTGGAAGCTAAATTGTTACATAGTGCATGATTATGTAGTAAAATAAGGTACATGTATGTTGAAGCTCAGTCAGTCCTGGCTTTGATTGTGTAATCTCCAGAGTGCAAAAGGATATGAATTTGAGTCAGATCGCTCTGTGCATTTTCTCTGAACTCACCACAAATTTGAAAATGTGACCTTTTGTGATTAGAGAACGTTTAAACTGTATCGGTTTTATTGCTGAAATGCTTTATAACTCCCACCGGTTGTTTTTTTGTCAAACAGTGGAGCCAAGAACAAGCCTTACCTGACCACCCAGCAGTTCATCAAGTTCCTGAACGACGAACAACGAGATCCCAGACTCAATGAGATCCTGTATCCATTCTACGATGTGCCGCGGGCCAGGGAACTGATCACCGAGTTTGAACCGAATAAAGCATTCATGAAGAAAGGTAGAGTTAATTGTTGTCCGTTAGTATTTACAATGTGGAGAAGAGCATCTCAAAGGGGTAGGGTCAGGGGAGGAGTGCCATTCTCGAGGGACATTAAAAGCAATGGTTGATGTTGAATTTCAAAAGCATTTTTTTTTTATATTGGTTTCACTCATTGAAACGCTGTGGAAATGCTGTGGGAAGAAGAAACGGTCAAAATTTTCCACTTTTTGAAATACAGAGAGAGAAGAATGCCCCAAAATTTAACCTCATGCCTCTGAAAGGCCGCACAACTTAAGTGAAGAAGTTGTCCTTTTGTCCCCCCCCCAAAAAAGTGATCTTGAGAACGATCAATGTGAGAGGAGGATTGGAATTACTCAGCCACAAAATCAACTTTATGATACTGGAGAAATGGTGGTAAGTCTAGACTCCAGACCCAAGTACATTCTCAAAGATGATAAACAGGGAGCCGACTTGTATTCTAGTGGTAGCCAATCAGTGACTCTTTTAGATGGTTTCTTACATACTGACCGGAAAAGATTGAGGTACTGCTAACACAGATTTGTTCTCTGCCCTGCAGGTCAGCTGTCTGTGGACGGTCTGCTTCGCTATCTGTTGAGCGATAAAAACTCAGTCGTGGGACCGGATGCCTATTTACTATGCCACGACATGGAGCAGCCCCTAGCTCATTACTTCATCAACTCATCGCACAACACGTACCTGACAGGTCAGTAGATCACCCTCCCCTCCTCCTCTTATCTTTCAAGATAATATTCCCAACAAACTACCCCGCCCAGGCCACTACTTTTTTGGGGGGGATATCTACAATCCCTCTTGCAGGAATGTCATGCCAGAGTCTGGAACAGGTTTTAAACAATAAAATGTAGATCTGTGTAACTGCCAATTTTGTTTGAGTATTTGAGCCCCAACCTAACAAATGAGTCACAAGTCACCAGATTCACTTTTGAGTTTGGCCCTTGAAAGAATCTTGCACAATACAGTCAACAGGAACTCTCAACATTTTTTCACCCACGTTGTGTCCATATCCATCAGGATGCCAAAGTGATTGATGCTGAGCAGAGTGAGCCCTTTCTAATGTAAATTAAAACAGAATTTCTAAACAGGCAGCCATCAGACTTATTCTGTGAGATTCATTTATATTTGGTAACTTAAAGTACTCATCCCAGCCCTAGTGCTTATCAGCAACTCCCTGGTCTGGAACCCCACCCTTTCCCTTCCAGGTCATCAGTTGACGGGGAAGTCCTCTGTGGAGATGTACCGGCAAGCCCTGCTGTGTGGCTGCCGCTGCGTGGAGCTCGATTGCTGGGACGGCAAGACGGCGGAAGAAGAACCAATCATCACGCATGGCTACACCATGTGCACTGACGTCTCTTTCAAGGTTGGCAAATGATAAAGTCTCCCTTCCTGAGATAATAATGTTTGCTTGAAGTATGTTAGAATTCATCGGCCATGCTTGCATCGTCACCTTCCATTCAGATATCGCCTAAAGTAGCGACTGGTCTAGCATTTACAAAATTGGAGGGCACAGAATGCTATAACCTCCAGAACGGAGTTTAAACTGAATACATTAGTAAGGCATGTTTGAATTGTGCTGTGACATTTGTGTAAATCACAGTGCAGTGGTAACTAGGTTGTAATCATACTTCATAAGTACTGGTTTTATGGGGAAGGTATGTTTGTATTTGATTTTTGAAAACCTCGCACAATGTCAGCCTAACTAGAATTTTGTTTGATGTCAAATTTCAGCCGACACGAGGGCTGATTACAAGCGAGACCATCCGTAGAAAAAATGAATTGTTTCTTCTCAGGGACATAAGTGCCATGATAAATGATTTTGTTATGATAAGTGAAAATTTATGTTGGTAGGAACAAGTACGAGTATGATTTCAAGCTGTTTTGACACATTTAGCCTAGTGTCTGAGAGATTAGATTTCAATCGATATCTCATGCGGAGGACAATAAACTCACCCAAAAAATTAGAGCATTTCCTTTTCTTTGTTTTTTTTCCCTTCAAATTTGCCAAATGTTGTCATGCCCTCTCATTAAAGAACGAATTTAGAACCCCAGGGTAAAATACTCATTTCTTCTGATTTTGCCGCTAGCTGTAGGGCTGTCGGTTGCCATGGGAACCCTTGTCACTTCAGTAATTTATCTCAGGAGATGCAGCCCAATCAGGGTTGCTTAATTGTGAGCTCTTTAGAAAATATTTTACTACTTTTCTTAAAATGCAAAAGACGTGTTCAACATGATAATCAGTGTTTTAAGCATGAGCAAGGATAGGTTGCTGTATTTGTATAAATGATTAAAGATCTTTCAATATCTTTCAAAAATACAGTTTTTGCAAAATATCAGGTGTGTGGCTTCCTGTCAGAGATGAAATTTACTTATTTGTCAAGAGACTTTTCCACGGATCAGCTAATTAGACGTATACCCCCATTTGCATGGCCTGTTTTTGTCACACCAATTTACAGCTTAGAATTTATCCCATGTTTAAGACTCCCTAGTTACATTTCTCTTTGCTTTTGCTTTGTAACTATACTGCATTTTACAATACAATCCAGTGCACACAAAGATATAGAGGTCATGGTACATGTATAATGCACTTCACAGTACATAGCCTGAACTCACTTTGTTGCATGCTTGGCTTCGTGTTTGCAGGGTTTCCCATAGCCATGAAAATCCTGGAACAAAATAGTTGTCCTCAGCGGCGTAGCCATGGGGGGCCTGGGGGCCACATGCCCCCCCCCACAAAGTCCCCTAAAAAAATGGATAAATGGATATTGAACAAGGCTAACAAAAGCTTTCCCCCCAAAAGCCGCACCACTGAAAGCTGGTGCCCCTGATAAGATGCTGGTGCCCCCCTAGTGCCTCCCCCTAGTAAAATCCTAGCTACACCCCTGGTTGTCCTGTAAAGGTCACAGAGAATTTTGGAAAAATAGGGTGTTCTGGTGTCCTGGAATCCTGTTGGAGGGAAAAAAGTCGTGGAAATCAAGATCGTTATTTTTTTTTTTCTGATGGGCCACTTTTGATGTAATACCAGAATAACTGATAAATTTACAGTTGATTGCAAATCCCCTCTTTTGTCACAATGCAAAGAACCCAAACTTTATGTATTTCGTCAGACACAGAACAAACTCTGGGAAATATTTCACTTGTTTGACTTTAGGCATTCAGTGTAGTCTCCAGGAACCTTTCTGCATACTCTGTATCGTTCGGTGTTATCGTAAGATGGATAGCAATAAACTTCTGTACAGACGATGCCACACTTAGTTTCACACGTGTGCCCTCCTATGGTGCTCAGCGGACCCTGGTCCCCCAATGGTTCCCTAGGAAAGTGCACATGCACCGTATGTGTGACATCCGTAATTAATACATTCTTGAACTCTTGCACTCCTATTGGCGTTCTACAGTACATGCATTGTGTACTTAATGCGCTACCACATACTGAGCTGTAAATTGTATGTAGTTGTGTTCAAAGCAGCAGAACTGTACAGTGCAAATCACAATGTCAGTTTCATTGTGCAAAAAAATAAAGAAGTGAATTTTTGGATTCAGGATAAAGATGTAAAAATACATGCAAAGTATTCAGGAAGTACTTCCCAAATGTGGTTACCTTATTTCTTATTGTTTTTCTTTTTTTTAATAAGTATTTGAATTCCAGTGTCAGTCTCACACCGCTTTATTAATATGGGATAGTAAATTGGACACTTGGAAAGTACTTGACTGTAACTTTTGCCTTGACATTTGCCAATGACCTCATTACACCAATAACCTCTCTCTCTTTCCCTTGGTTGTGTAGGAGGTCATTGAGGCTATCAAAGAAACAGCCTTCAAGACCACAGATTTCCCGCTCATCTTGTCCTTTGAGAATCACTGCTCGTAAGTATCACCCGTAATTATTTTCCTCTCAATCCGAAAGGGGCTCATTACAGTGCCTTTTCCAATCAGTGGAAGTCTTAGATCAGGTTTTTTGAGTGGCTTACTTGAATGTCACAGTGGCTTTGTTCAGTAATGACATTATACCGTAAAAAAAGTGAATAGTTTTGTTATAATGAGACCGATTTGTGAATTTCTGGATTAGGTTGGTGAATGGCTTATTTGAATATCATAGTAGCCTTGTTCAGCACTGATGTCATACTACAAGGCCACAGGTGAGAGACAGGCCCCCTCCCTCAGAGCGTCTTGCAGCGCAGGACAGAAGTCTGTGCCATCCATGCCCCCTGCCCCTCTAAGCCGTGTCCCTCCCCATTTGAATTGTTATACACACACAGCCTCCTTGAAAAAAGGAAGTGAGTGCACACTGTTCATCTCATTAATGTCACCCTAGAGCTACTGAGTTTAGGTGGATCAAAATCCCTTGTGTTTTACTCTGCTGTTTTTCTTCTTGATATTCCACAGACCAAAGCAGCAGGCAAAGATGGCCAACTATTGCCGGACAATCTTCGGTGATGCCCTTATTGTCGATCCACTAGATACAAATCCGGTAATTTAAAAATAGAATCAATTTTTTAAAAAACTTGTTCTTGTTTTGTTCTTCACATTATTCAACCAAGAGATGGGCGATAAGATAGTGGTGTGTTCATTTTGAGGGAAAATGTTTCCATGGTGATCAGTCTTTGTTTTATCACTGGGTTGCCCTTGTGTGTCGTCACAAGACAACACAAGAATTACAGTGAATGGATATGGTCTGCATTCACATCATGATCGCCGGCATTCTAGGTTAAGGGTCAGCAGTCAACAAGAATGTTCACTTGTTTACTAAAACAAAATGAGATCATATTGTTTAAGAAAAATGAGAAGGCGTTACATGAGTTACCCATGCAGTCAGGTGCTTTTGAGTGGATTCAAGCAAGCATTGCCAGTTGGAAACAAACAAGCCAGTGTGTACTCATGCATGTCCATTGTAGCTCAGTGGACTTTCAGATTTTGTTCATCTAAATGTGTTATCGCTTGCCAAAGAGGCTACCTCTGAGCGATTTTCTCATTGGCATTTTTGGTCATCATGCTCGTGCTATTGTTCGTCTACAGATTGAGGTGGGCGTAGCGCTTCCTAGTCCCAGTGCACTGCGAGGCAAGATCCTCGTCAAGAACAAGAAGCGACGAGTCGTCGACGGTGCCAAGAAGAGATCAGGTACTGACGTAGCCAATTTAAACTTTTTCAATATCATGGTTTATACAGGCTGTTTAAATTTTTTGTTCTAATGCGAGATATGTTGCACTGCATTCTGCACGTGTAAATTTCAGGAGTTGTTTCTAATCTTGAATAAAATGGTTACAGGGTTTATTATTTTTGGTTTTGGTTTTGATTTTTTAAGAAGAAATGAGTTGTGAGGTAAGTGTGGAGAAATTATGGAAAATTGGAATTGGGCATGTTGTACAAAAAAGCATACTCCCGTTTACTGACAATACCAGTTATTGGCAAATATATTTATTGGTGTTTTTACCTTGTTTAAGGCTTCAGTCCCCCAGAATGGTCAAACTGCTGGCCTCTTAGGTTTCCAGTTGCCAACAATTCAGCAGCTCTTTGTACTTGCTTAGGAAGAAAGAAGTGTGAAATCCTGGCCCTTAGAGGATGTTAAACACACTCGTCTGCTGACGGAGACAAGTCTAATACCCATTTGCTCTTCACAATGTATGACAAGCGTATAGCGTGAATGGCGACTTGCTCATCCCGCAGTGCTGTAATTTTGCCGTTCTCTGACAAGCCTGTTCATGGTATAAAGTCCAACCAGCAATTGTCAACATGCACTAACCACTTCAACTGGGATGCCAGTATTCCTAATCCCATTTTTGTTTTTTTTAACAACTGAGTGGCGATCACGACATAATAATACGACTCTAGGTTCATTATGAATGAATATCAACCCACACCTTGTGTGTTAAAATGCTTAAAGAGTACACATGCATGATGCATAGCTTCAAATATTCATTTGTGCCCCCAAATGTAAGTGAAATTACCAGGGTTTATTGGTTTTTATGCTACGTATTCGTTGCAGAGCTGAGGTGTTATAGAATTCACAGATATGGTAATGGATTTATTGCAAGAGCTATGTCAATATGCTTTCTTTCAACAGAGGATTCTTGTCATATAAGATTCCGAGCAACTCGGGATATCTTACAAGATTTTGATTGAGCTACATGTATTCTGCATTGTTGTTGTCAAGATCAAACACAAGACCAGTCACAAGACCCGGTCCTAGGTAACTTGGTGAACTGTGCCAGGCATGTTTTTGTTTAAGTTCCTTTGGATTAGTTGGGGACTTGAATTCGATGTGGAAGTCTTGTGATGGTCTTGTATGATTTGATGATCATTAAGAAGAAATCACTCAAATCTCCTGCACTGTACATTTTTCCTGTCTGAGACCAGTTGTGAAGAAGCAAACAATTTAAGCTTTAATATTCAGGGTTGTGAAAAAAATGAAGCGAGTACCGCTGAATCTGAATGGGTTTTTCAGAAATGCGGCTGCAGGTTGTATTACCACTTTCTGATTTATGTACACGTGGATATTAGATTTCATACAAATTTTTGTCAAATCTTGGGCCCCGTAAAAATTCTTCAGGCAGATTGTCACGTCGAATGCGCAGCCTGAGTACTCTGAGCGCGGGCAAGCCAAGGGAGGAGGAGCTTATCCGTCAAGTCCTGCGTCGCGTTCAGAGTGACATGTCCTCGGCAAGCACAGTGGAACAAACCGCCTTTGAGAAGTGTGAGAAGGGGGAAAAGTTCAAACTCAAAAAGTCGACACTTGAGCATTTCTGTCATCTCAAGTCAAATGTCCTCCTCATGTGACACCTGGCTCAAAATGTCAATCCTCTGCAACATAGCTCACTGTACAAAACACTCATTGAATCCTGAACCGTGAGGACCATGCGACAAAGAGCTTATGTGATGCCACCACAACCCCATATTTCATTGGCATTTCCATTGTGCCAACCGTCCATAAGTCACTTCAGCCACTGTCCCACAGAAATAACCCATTTTCAAAGCTTCCACTACGGGCGAAGAATTCCCACCTGTTATTTGTAATCATTGGCAACGAAATCTACATGTAAATGTGCCAGTTCTAAGATAAGTACTTATAATGGCAGTGGAGTGTCGGATCAACAAAAAAACAATAAAAGAAAGAACTTTTGTTTGATTGTGGTGACTGCTTTTGCAGCAAGACTGCCTTATTGCCTCGGCCACCGGGCAGAATGGGATATTTGAATTGCCAATCCATGCAGCCAATCTCAGGCATGGTAGAATTTCCGACAGAGTACTTTGCACATCATGACGGCAGCAATCACTCAGTCATTCACGTATTTCAGACTCTCAAATGGTAACATAATCTCCCATTCAGTGGTACTAATTACAGCTCCCTCACAATTAATTCATTTTTTTCTGAGCATGAGGCTTATGTTCCTTTGCTACCACAGCAGAACATGCATTTCTATTTTTTGCAGTCTGCTTAAGCGAGACGGGAGTTACTCAGCTGTTTTATGTCATTGCCATGGCAACCATTGGCGTTACCAGAGATAATCACCTGCATTGAGTTATTCAGATAACTTGCCATTGCCAGTATTCTGCAATGATTGTGTGAGCAATAGCCAATTTGGGGCTTAAATTTCACCAACAAGTAAGGCCTGCCAAAGCCAACAGAATCTCATTAGGCAAATAAAAAGGCAGGCTAAATCCGATAGAATTCAATAACAGCAAATAGTAAAGGCTGCCGAACCCAACAATCTAACAACTGCAAAATAATAAGGCCAGCCAAGTCCAACAGATTACAGTAATAACAAATAGTAAGGCCAAATACAACAGATTACGGTAATAAAAAATAGTAAGGCCAGCCAAATCCAACAGATTACGGTAA